CAGACAGACAGACAGACAGACAGACAGACAGACAGACAGACAGACAGACAGACAGGCAGATTATGGAGGGAAAGAAACAAGGAGAAAGAGATAGATAAAGAAAGATAAACTACAACGAGAGACATCATAGATGGGAGGGGAGAAAGAACGGAGGTGTGAGAAAGACCACCTGAGGGAGGATGGGAGCGGCTAAAGGTGGGTTGGTGGACGTGTGTGTCTGTGTCTGTGTGTGTGGGAGTGTGTGTATGTGTGTGTGTTTCTGTGTGTGTCTATCTGTGTGTGTGTTTGTGTGTGTTTCTGCGTGTGCGTTAGGTCTTGTTTTGATATAAAACATATTTATATTATTTTAAACTATAGAAATTGGTGGTTGCACGTTGTCCATTTCTTTCTAGTGGTGTACCATTTTAACCCTATGGGGTCATTTTGTACCCCGGGGTTGCACTCTTCACTTTTTGAAATACTTTTAGAGCGAAGATCTCTTTGAAATTTTCAGTAATTCTCAAAATATCATTTTGACAGACTGCTATGCAAAGCGTACGGATCGGATTAACGAATAAATTTCCTCTTTGGAAAGTGGAGGCACAGAGTTCCCCACAGCGTATAGATACGATAGTAGCACACAACATACGGAACGACTTTTCTAATAAATGTATCTACGCTGATAAAAGTAAAGTATAAACTTCCCCCTCTCCCGGTTCACAAAATACTTTGCCTAAACTAAGAGACATTCTCCCACTGCAGTCGTCATAGTGATCCAAGATGTTGCGCACGAAGCCTAGCCGTTCCAAATGGGGACTATACTTTACTCATCACAGTCACTTATAGGTTTTCTTCTCGCTGGAAATCTGTGAGACGCGTGACATTCACAAAGTCAGTTTAACAACACCCCATGGTTTCCCCTCTCGTTCCACCACGCATTCATTTAATGTTGTTGCAGGATTATAAAATGTTGTGCCACGATGTGGGGGAATCAGCCGTTCGTCAATTTTTGGATATGTAAAGTAATTAATACCATCTTAAAGTTTGTTTAATCATCTTGCTTTTGGTGAAACAGATATGTATCTTGAATAGAGATTGAGACATTAACGATTGAGGGAGGTGGGTGTCACCTAGTATCGGGATTAAAATTAACTAGAAGATGGTCGCCAATGAAGCTTGACTCCCAAAGCTTGAGTGTTCTTGAATCTTTGCATTTTTGTGCTTTTGACCA